TCTACAATACCCTTAAGCTAACATATTTCCTTTAAACGTAAGTTACCTTATGTCAAACTTGTGTTTTCTAAGCGTGTCCTTACATTCAGGAAAGCAAAGGAAGACGACAGAGTCTATGCCCTGTTGTCTCCTGATACTTTCAGAGAGTGGAGGATGGATAAAATGTCTTAAAATTAGCAGGTCAATATTCAGAAATACCACCACCAGCACGTCAACATCCTCCAAGCCTAGTGAACAGAAGAGACAGGCCATTACTGTGACTTTCACTGTTCAGATGTCCACAGCTTCCTGGAACAAGCACAGATTGAGTCTTCACCATTATTGTATAGTAATTTAGAAATACACAAGCAAACAAAATTCTTCTTGTTTGTTAGGACAGACTTAGCAAAAGCTTGCTAGGTTTTATGGAGATTGAAGTCATGGACGGCATGACTTTCAGGATAAAAAAAAATGTAGATTAGAAGATCATGTAAATTAATGCTATTGGGATGTAGTACTCTTTGGGAAACCTCTTTAAGACTGTATTTTTCTGCATGATAAATTTTAGGATACTGCTTTTTGCAGTAGCAAATGCAAAGGTGGTGGGAAGACTAAGTATCAGTTTGAGGTCTGCAAAATCTAGTACCTTCTGAAGAAAATTTTTAAGTGTATGTATACACTTCACAATCCCGAGTCTCCTATTCTTCCTCCGTCCTTCAGTCTGTTATCTAGTTGCTTATCAGTGAACCATTATTTCAGGAGCATAGCTACCATATTCATCTGCCAGGCTCACCTGGCTTTGTTGGTCTTCACAAATTTAACCTACATACTTGGCTTGAGGCAAAGACTTCATTTCTTGTTACTCATCCTCACCCAACTTTTCCCTCTCTCAATCTTTCCACTAGCCCAGCAGGAAGAGAATTTGAAGTTATCTTAAATTCATATTCACTGGGAAGTATACATAGATTGCTAACCATTCCATGGTGCACTTTCCTAAAATCTTGTGGAAAGCGCAGATGTTGTTACCACAGAGCAGTTGCCAGAGCAATCCTAAGTAAGAAAATACAGCTTATGTGAACAGTAGGGGGAGAAAATAGGAAAAAAAAAACCTCCAAAAACCCTTACAAAATCAACCAAACATGAAAACGATTCTTCTGTCCTAAGATAAACTGGTCTCGAATTACACTTACATTTAAAATGTAGTTCCTCACTCCATTTAGAGAGGCATCTGTTGAAATACTGTGGGGTATGTTCTGTTCAAAATAGTAAAGTACTTTAAGTTGAATGAATTCCAGAAGCTTGGAAGCTAAGAGACAGTATGGCAAAGTTAGTGGGTAGCATCCTGAAATTACAGTACTAGGATTTCAACTAAAATCCTAGAGTATCTTAATGGAAAAAATACTGTTTGAATGTTATTTAAAGAAAAATAAAAAAGCCTGTGCTGCTTGCTTTGTTACTGTCCATCAATCTTTTCTAATGTGACATCATTATATGCAAAAATAACTGTTCTCAGGAAATGTACTGGTTTCTACTGGAGAAGAAAGTTGTCATGAGACCACTCCTGGCAACCTTATTTTAAAAGTCATCTAAAATAGCAAAACTGAGAAATCCATTTTCAAGTGACAGATAGGCCTCCAGAGGATAGAGTTACGGTTCCTTGGGTTTCAAGGAAAGGATAATCACCACAGCCTTTATAAAGCTCATACAGAATTCACAGCCCAGAAAGTGAGAGATAAAATGGGCTTCGAGCCTGTTGCACATGGGCTTCCGCGGCCCCACTGACAGCCAGTGGGGTGACTGATGTGCTCCAGGACTGCCAGTGACACTCGCCCCGCGGCCCTCTCTGCGGGTGCCTTGCTGCTTCCGTCTTGGTCCTCGTAACCAGGGCTCACAAGAGGGCCATTAGAGAGCTGGCATCAGCTGTCTGTTGCAGGTAATTCTTTTAAAGCTTTCTAATTCTCCAACAGGACTGTGGAACTGAAATAGAAATCTCACAAGATTATCAAATAGCATCCTCTAAAATCGCAGGGCTTTTGTCTCACCTCAATATGAGTGTCCCTTGCTTACTGTGCATTATTTACATGGGGACACCACATCACAGACGTGAAACTAAACCTAATGGCTATCAAATATACCTACCTTTAATAATACAATTATAGTTATTTTCTATTTAAAACCTTTAAATCACTGAGTAAGGTCCTTCTGTGGATTCTAGGTTTTGGCTAAAAAGGAAGACAACAATGAGAATGACTTATTTTGAAGCACTGATTACCTTTTACATTAATTCAGCTCACAAACATTATTATTCCTTATCTTAGAAGATACATTTAACTTAGCTTTAAAATATTTTGTCTAAAATGTATTTAAAATGGTGCGCATAGATAATGCAAAATGTTCTGCTTTAGTACAAAATATTTCTGTGTACTTACCACTTGAGTATTTAAGTACAAATACTCTTAGCTAAATGCACTGATACATTTTGAAAGTGATGTTATTGACAACGGAAAGCATCAGAACCTCATGAAATCTTCTAATTTGTGCAATAATTATTACCTCTCAACTTACAACTGTGCAACTTATTACCTCTCAAATATTAAGTGCACTATCAAAGCACTTTATATGTATACATATATATAACTTAGTGCCAATCTATCAATGTATTCTAAATTTGATCACATTGCAGTTGTAAAAATACGCAAAGATTCCATCTATAAGTCTCTGTTTTGTACATTCTAGCAATGTAAATGAGACTCGCAGCCATTAAACATTTATGACTATACTTGCTTCCAAAAAATTGTACATTTATGATAATATGGGAAACGTTGATTCTGTGCATTAGTTTTATTGTATACATAAATGTCATCTTGAGCAAATAAAAAGTCAAGGTAGTATAAATTACTGAAAAAAACTACTGTAGTAAATAATTACAGAGCATATTAATAAACAAAACTGTATGAAACATTTTTTTAGTACTTTGGTCACATATTGGTAAAATTTATTTTAAAAGCAGAAACAAAACTGATACATCTGTCCACACACACAACACGCGTAACACACACTTCACATATAAGTATCAACATCTTCCATTTCAGTTTCTCAAATTTTGATTCCACAGCAGTATTTAGCTTTATTATTGATACAGACTTCTATTAATTTATTTTAGCTTAGTGTTAAAATAGAAGGGAAATACATTTCTAGAAACTGAAGCTGTATAAAAATAAGCCTGCAAATTTAGAGCCTTTAAGCCAAAAAATTTAAGTGGTAACATAGCAAAGATAGTAAGATTGAGATTGCACAAGTAAACTTTTATGCATACCCCCCCTCCACTTAATATTGTATTTGTTTGAAGTGAAAATGACTAAATCCTGAGAATAATCAAAATAAACCATGTTACACTATTAGAATACAACAAAAATATTCTCATGCCGACAGTCACATACAAATTGTTTCATCCTTACACTAAACTAGCAAACCTGGAATATTTCTTTCCACCCATTCCAAACTTAATATTCTTAAGACTGATTTCCTCCCTCCAACTCAAACATACTCTTTAAAAATCTTAGTTAATAATTTCATTTCAGTTAACATGGTAGATGTTTATTTGTGTAACTCATTGCTTTAAGGGGTATATGGTAAAGATCTCTGATGTCAAAATGCTGAATATAGGTATTGCATTGTTTTAACATCTACTAAAATCTTTTGGTAATAACATGTTATGGAAGACTGAGAGCATAACAGAAAATCATCAAGTAATGCTTCTTCAAAAAAACCTTTGAACGGGTGTTTCATCCTTGCTATAACTCAGTGGCATAACACTATACCTTTACACAATATACCAATGGTTGTCTCCAATGTAAGAGGAAGAACAGCATATACAGAACATTTAAATAGAAATATATCCAACTGTAACCCTTCTTGTTTGTGTATCACTTGCATGTGATTTTTTTAATGTAAAATTAACACATTACATGGAAATATTATATAAGTCCTTAAAAATTTGGAGTTTCTTTTGTTTATAAGATGGTATTTTAGTATTATTGAGATCAAAAAGTGCTGGAGCTTATATGCATACTGGTTGATGCAGTTTTCCATCAGAACTGATGACTGAATTAGTGCAAAACTTTCACTATGTGCAATTTTCTTGTATGATGTAGTAGACAATACAATATTCAGCTCTATTTTTCCAACTGTATTTTTTACCTATGCCAAACACAGTTAACAAAACAAAGAAAACAACACATAAGAAAACTTTCAGACAATTCAAATAGCAAAATTTTGTATAAAACATATTTATCTTAAACTTTTCCTTTCGACCTTCCTCCCCCTTCAGATTGCCAGAAATACAAAATATGCATCTGGTAATGTAATCCCTATTAAGAGGTATTGCTACTGTAAGAGAAATGTAGGAGTCAAACATACTCTGCTTGTATGCATTTGACTATCAGTTTTCTAATGCTTTCTAGGTATCATTTTATTGGTAGTAGGTATACGTGTCCACTCAAACTTTCAAATAATTTTATAAAAAGTTAGAAAAATATACTCAGTATTTGTTGCATAACCTTCCTATATTCACTCTATTGTACATGAATCTTACAAAAAGCTTTAGAACCATTTATTAGCTGCAAAAATACCAACCGCTGTGCAGCACCTGGAGAAAGGTCTTGGTGAGAACATACAATCCAGTATTATGTGATCTTGAAGGTATTTTTCTTCAGGTTTACAGCTACATATTTTCACAAGTAAACCCAATAAATATTCAATACCATGTTCATACGAGCATCCATGGACACACAGACCTTTCTTGATTTCATGCTAAATCCTGAAGAAGAGCTGGTGATGTGAAAAGTAAATGACAAAGTCTGATCAACTAAGTACAATAGAATGAACTCCATGTTTAATTGTCACCAAGTTATTTTGCAACAAGCTGATAGACTGTCATTTTTAAAATTTTCCTTCAAGGGCAAAAAATGTTTCTGATATAATTTTTTTATAATGTTTTTTAAATGCTATTTGTGATCCAGTCAAGCAATGACATCATGGGTATCACTGTTGGGTCTTTGGCGTATCGTCAGCGGGGGCAGAGGCTTTCCATAGAAATCTGCGTAAGAAATGCCAGAGAAGAAAAACACATTAATTTGTTATTTAGCATCTCTCTTGCTTAAAGGCTGTTAAAGGTAAATTCTTGCTTCTTTAATGAAAGCTAGGTAGCCTACAAGTTTAGAGCTAATTCCTACAAGCAACTTTCAGACATAGTGCTAATTAATGTCTGGAGCTGTAGTGGCCAAAACAGGGTTTAATTACATTTTGTTATACATGCATCAGCATTTGCAAGATCAACCCTAAAGGTAATCTGTAAACATTCCTAAAAATAGGAACCGAAGTTTTAAGTTACAGTAATGCTATGCAGCATCCAAAATTTTGGGACCATTTATGCATGGCATCTATCTTGAAAGCCATACTAACTTTCTAAAATAACTATGTTAAGAATTTTTAGATAAAAGTGCAACATTTCCTGTTGTCAATAAAGGAGTTTAACGTCGTAAAATTGTTCAAGACAAAGTTATTAAGTACACCAGAAAAGAATAACAAGTATTCTCAAACATTTGTAATTGATATAGAAGAAAAAAACCATGCAGACGGGTACATGCAAAGCATTTCACGAGCAAAATACTATCATGAAATATGGTAAGAGGAAACAGGTAGAAATCAAGAAAAAATAAAAACAGCTTTTTGAAGCATTCAAATCTCAATGTTGTTTATACAGACAACTTCCTCCCCAACAAAGCCTTGATGGCCTGCCAACACAAAATTCAACTTTAATAAATCATAATTTTCCGAGAAAAATACGTTCCACTTGTTCTACATATGCCATGTGTGTTTAAATTGCATTCCTGAGCTAAAATTAACAAAAGCAAGCAAGTTGGATTACATTACTCTAAGAATATGTGTACATGTCTGTAGGATCAAGGCTTTAGTTATCCTTACATTTAATCAGTAAAATAATAACACTTTTATATTATTGTTGTAAATCCTTTGATTTTAATAGAGCTAATTCAGTGTTATAGCAGCATGTGAAAAGCAACAAAACTGAAACAAATTATTATAGGGTAAATAAAACCCTGGACAATGGATGTTTTTATTAGCCAGTTTCTTGAGGTCTGGCAAACAACTTTAGGACTGGCCAGCAATTTTACCTCCTGTCATTAGAGAGGCTTGTCATTCTTGCAAATGTATCCTCCAGTGACAATAAATAGACACTCATTACCTAGTGTTGTGCTAGAATCATTAGCATGACTGGAAAAATTGCAGTCTTTAGTGAAAAAAAGTGTAAAATTAAAGATTTATATAATTGACTCTACTGGCTGTTAACTCTGCCTAAACATCCAAGATAACGTTCTCTGTTAAGAATGACACAAAAATGACTCAATGTATATATACTAAATAGCCTGCTCACTAGCACTTAAATTTTTCAGTTTGCACATTAAATCATTAAGACAGATTTACATCTCTGAGAACAGCTAACATTAAAAGCCAGACTTTTGGAGGTTGTTTCAACCTCGCACTACACTAATTTTATATATTTCAGCAGCAAGGTCTACCACATATCTGTGACACTTTCAAAAAAATAATTTTTAAGACAAAAACAAAGGAATAATGGCTATCCTAACTGACAAAGACCTGTACTAGAATGCATAGGAATACTGAGAAACACCTGTTCCTGTGTTTTTCCATGGACTAGCAGAAATCAACTTGATATCTTGTCATATCTGTCATATCTGTTTTGAAGCTTAAGGAAGCTTCTTGACTTACATTGAGGAGCTACCAAATGTTTCATTGATACACTCTTGGACATAGACTTTGAGACTACTCCTGAAAATAACCTCTATGCATAACCAAGGCTCCTTTAACTTTTAAAAGCAGACTGTTAAATACTTTTTTTCTTTCTTTGGTCTTAGGGACACTAACAATTTTACCTAGAGTCCTGACAAAAGCATCTACCGGGCATCCTACCGGAACTGAGGTTTTACAGCCTGGTCTACCTGAAGGTAGGTGCTCATTTGCCCCATATAGAAAGACTTTCCAGCCACTTGGCCAATAACAGTTTGTCAAAGCGAATTGTTCAACAGAATGCAATACTCCTATAGAAAACACTGCACCTCAGAAAATCTAAAAAAACCCATAGAAAAGAAAGTCTTACTAAAGTCCCAGCTAAAGGAAATAAAAAAAAAAAAAACTTTAAGCTTTCACTGCAAATTGTGCCTTCAAGACATTTATATCAATTAATCATGAAACCAATAGGGAAACCGGGCCTTTTTATTTCACAAAAGTTGAATGACTAAAAAAAAAATCTTAAAACCACCTTTATAGTGAATTTTGGGCGAAGCTGGAGGGAAAAAAAAATCAAAATTGATTTATTTCTCCGCTGAAGGGACAGCCAAAAAGAAGTTGGTTTTCAGAAAGATGCAATTCAAAGAATATTCTAAAAATGGATAAAAGGTAGGCTCCACTGGTCTTAGGAAAACGTGAATGAGTTTCCAAGGAGGAGCAGTTGTCTGTCTGCAAAATATGTAAAAACTCATTGAAAAACACTGTTGTATGACAGAAAACGGGCAAGGACAGATGGCAAGCTAAAATCAGTGCAAGATGGACTTGGTAGTGTTAGGTTAACAGTTGAACTCAATGATCTTAAGGGTCCTTTCCAACCTAAATGATTCTATGGCTGTCACATGGACTGAGTAAAAAACAAACTGCTCTAAGCAGAGTAAATAATCGATGCTCTTTGATATCAAGACTTAACTAAAGGTTTGACAATGCTCTACCGTGTGTTTGAGGAGCTTTTTTCATTTATAAACAGTACTTTCCTAATACATGTTTTCTTGCTTTCTCAGGATTTTCTGTATCTGTGTGAATCTTGTGAGCATCTCCAAATTCCTGAAAAAAAATCTCAGCAAAAAGCATGCAACGTCTTGAATTAATCTGCAAAGTTCTGAGCACTCCAAGTTTCCTCTGATCTCAATGGTTACACCTATGGTCAAGAGATTGTTACCCTACCAACATCTTTTCCATTGTCAGATTCCAAAATATTTTAATTATTATCCTTATTTTACAAATGGACTAAATTAACACAGATCTCAGGTTACTAACGTACACACCCATGAGCAGGAAACCTAGCTTAAGTGGTTTTTTCCCCTCTTTGCCCCACCCATGCTCTTGCTACAAAATGCAACACCTCCCTTAGGCACAGATAAAATTTGAGTATCACTCCTCTTTCTTCCCCTCCCTACCTCTTCATCTGGCTTTTCTTTCTTGCCGCCTTCTCTCTACATGCCTTTAAAAAAAAAGAGCAAGATGGTTTTATGATTAAGACTACAAATTAGATTTTACACACATGAATTACGCTCCTGTGAAAATAAGTATCTAGTTTCTAGAGATCTTAATTCCCCTTTAGGCATGTTTTGATTCTTCGACAGAGAAGCTCCATGTTCTGTTGCTTCAGAACTTCAGCAGGTATGTCCACATGGTGCTGTACTACATGACAATAGTACAATCAGTCCAAGTCAGGGTTAAGCTCAAGGATCACTACAGTCACACTGAGCTCCTTTTTCTAAATTCCTCAATTTATGTTCTTTGTTCAATTTGTATAAGTGTTCCCATTGCTTTAGTTTCGCTCTCCTCCCCTAATATTCCTACAGATGGCTCCACTTGGCTTTTCAAAATTTGAAAAACAGAAATGTAAGAAAATGAAGAAATTATAATCTAAAACTGAGAAAAAGATGCAGTATGAGCATATGAAAAACAATGTTCCGTGGTCTTCCAAAAATAGAAAATAGTCATTATTGAAGAGAGAAGTCAAGAATCTGCCTACTACACCTTTCCAGTTATTAAACTTATTTCTCCTATCAGTTTGTGAACATTCAGGTACACTGGCTCTTCAGTAAAAGTAAAGCAGCAGATCCCAAGCTTTATCACTGAAACCTCTCCTTGCAGACCAATAACCTAGTTGTCAGTTGGAAGTCTCACTACTTCTGCAATCAAATTTATGCTGGGCTTTTCATCATAGCTAGGATTGAAGTCCCTTATTTGGAGTTGCTAACATAATGCACTTCATTCAGAAGTGCCCACATGTCTTTAGCTTTACTTCTCACAAGCAAACACCCCCAAATCAATGAGAAAAATCTTACAGACTATGCTTTTAAAACTCTATAGCAACAGTAGCAGTGGATAGAAGAAGTTTTAGACTATGTCAAGAGGCAACACAAGGAGTCAGCTTACATACAGCACATTCATCTGGAGGTGGGCTATGGTTCACAGAACTACAGAAATACATGGGGCCCATTTGGGTTCAGTATTGTGAAGCAATTAGCACTTCCAGATCAGATCGTAAGATCAGTGTGGAAACAAACAGGCAGCTTAGTGCAGAACCAGCCTGTATGTGGAAAAGCCACTATGGATCCCAAATTAATAAACCCTGCTGGATCTCTGTAGTTCTGCTTAGGTTTTTCTGAAGTATCCTCTCTGCTGAGTACCTCAGGCTTCTTCCAGTAACCAGGTAACCCAAGTCCTGTTCCCATTGCATCAGATAATGATGATCTCTCTACATACGGACAATGGAAATATACTTTGAAACTTTTATTTTGAATGCAATATGTGTTCGGACTCAAAGTAACTGGTCCTGTTACTCTTTATATGTATGGCACATTATAACATTTAGGTGCATGCTGCTGTGCAAATAACTTCAGATCATTAATAGCTTCTGATACTCCGTGACACTTTAAACTTCATAAGGAAATCTAAGAGAAGTTATTCTTTTTGGTAAAAAAAAGAAATAAGACTTGAAAAACAAAAAAGATGCTTTCTACTAAGCAAAAGGGTTAGCTTTTGGTCAATGAAAATTGGCATAAGAAATTAAAAAAAGATGAAGAACGAAATGAATGTAGAAGTGAATGAACAATGGAGAATGCTTTAAACAAGTACAAAACCCAAAATATTTTTAATTACCAGCATGATGGGTTTCACCAAGAGGCTCAAGTTTTCGAAGTCTATTAAGTTTGGGAGTTCCCCAGCCAACTAAAGGAAAACAAAGACAGTCAAAACACACCATGACTGCATTTGATTCTTATGAAATGTACGGAAGCCAGTTCTCTTTGGGAGAAATCAAAGCATTTAGAAATGCCAGAAGTATGTAATATATTGTATATATGGTGAATAATGATGAAACACTTTAAAAATAAACTGTTTTACCCTTAAAAATATTGATATTTTTGATCACTTTTTCATCAGTGAGTAGTCAAGTTTCTGACTCTTTTTTGTGAAAATAATAACATCTTCCCCCGCGGAATAGATCCAATCAATACTGCTGAAAGTTCATACCATAAAGTGGGAAACAGCATCAAAGATTTCTTAGAGAGTAAGGTTTAGTAGCATATCTCTGTATGAAGACCATTCCACTTTCATCATTCACAAATGAATATTTTAAAGGACTAATAACCACAAATTGAGACATGGATTATTGTTTGTTAGTACACTTACCTGGTGGAAGAGCTGGTGGTGGTGTAGGATTTTTGGGAATGGTCTCTTCTGCATTAATAGGTTCTACTCTGTGGCCCCTTTTTAATTTTGGTTTTTTATTTTTTTTCTTACCGTTATCTATACCAAACAGAAATAAAGCATCACATATCATACAGTTATGTTCAGAGAATCTCTTAGATCATCTTTTAATACAATTGCTGGTGTGAGATACATCAGCATTTTCAGTCCAAACTTAAACACAAAATTATGTGAAATGTAAAATTTACACAACATTTTGCTATAGAAAATAAACTGTAAGCTTAAAATATATGCAAATGCTATGTTTTAATAAAGAAATTCAACTTAGCTTGGTACTAATAGAAAGTGGACCACATATTTGATTATGATAAAAATGAACCTAGTTTCAGCTACAGTATCAGTCACACCAACAAACATGCACTTTTTTGAAGCAGATTTTCCAATACAATAACCTAATGGTGCATTTTTATGTTTTCAATTCATTAAATTGACATGTGGTATCATGAAAAATAATCAGAGGCAAAAACTGTATGAAAAACAACATCAAATGACACATTAAAAGGAAGCAGTTTTACCTGAGTCGAGGCATTCTGAGGCTTGCTGCTCATTCTCTTCTTCATGCTGCAAAAGCTGTGTAGTTGTAGAATTGCATGTTTCTATTCTACTATCATTTGTATTTTGGCTACTGCTACTTGGTAAGCGCTGGGCATCCACTTGTTCCTGCTCTGTTTGCGATTTCAAGACAATCGTAGCCTTTTCAGTCTCCAACCTGTGCCGCTTCTTTTCCTTTTCAATCTGTTTTTCATTCTAACAAAAAGTATAAGAATTTTTTTAACAACTTCTAATACTGTAAACTGACTAATAAGACAGGAAGGTTATTTAAAAAATCAAAATATTCCTAAAATATTTTTCTGTCCCACATCTAGCATAGAAAATATTTTCAAATGGGTGAAGAAATTAATTTCCAATGTCCTGTCCAGAGGAAAGGGGGGGAAGGGATTAACAGCAAAAGAACTTATCTTTAGGTTTATAGCCTATTTTCTTGCTTTCTTTTTGGTCATATGACAAAAAAAAATGCTAGCTATATAAACAACATCAACAGTCCTGAGCAAAAGGTTAGAAAACTCCTAATTTCTTCCTCTTCTTTTTTTTAAATGTTGTAGTTAAAACAACATAAGCATGCACAGAGTTTAAGTATCCAGAAGGTGCTGCCATGATTCGGTCAAATACCAGTTGTGTCATACAGACTCAATGATAGGCTGTTTCACAGGTTCTGTATCACTACGTCACCGTCTCTGCAACACTCGCAGCTATACCCTTCTCTTCTTACTCTGTATGTTATTACAAAGCATATTATTGTGCATGTAGCTGACTTTACACAGTATGGGCACTTTTGTCCTGGAGAGAAGCAAATGTTTGAATTTGCTTACTGGAAAAGCCTCTGAAAGTTTACATGTTTATTGAGATTATGTTATCTCAAGTCAACTGAACAAAAAAATGTGGTACAATAAATAAGAGCTACTTGAACTCAGAAACACAGGTTAAGGAAACATTACATATAAATATGCTTTTCATATTTCAAAGCTAAGAAAGCTTCTCAATCGTCTGTTTTCAACAGAAAACAGATTGTACTCAGAAATCTAAATAGTAGTCAGGGAGTAGTCAGGGAGATTTTATATGACTCACTACATCACTAAAACACTTTACAAGAAACTAATAGACCTTGAATATTTTCCACTCCTGAATATCCAATAGTTTAATTAGGAAATGTGTTCAGGCATCTGTTTACAATACCATTATTCTGTGTCTGCAAAACTTTTTGTCCCCGAATCAATAATAGGGGATTTTCTTAACATGAAAGCATTGATTCAATGCACACAAAAGACAACTGCCAAGATGAAAAAAAAAAAAAAAATAATGCTGTGCATACAGACTTAGAACATTTTTTTTAAATGAACTATTTTTCTCATTACCTCTCAGACATTTGTTAGTAGTAGGTCTAAACCGATCCAGATTTCCACATATTCTCATACCTCAGAGATTACAGCAGATATAGGCTGGAAAGGGTTTTCAGAGTTCCCAGGCTCAGGGTCTTCCTCATCAGGTACACTTCTTCCTTCTTCTCTGTCCCTTTGTTGTTGTTGTTTGGTTTATGTTGTTGTTGTTTTAGTGTTTTGGGGGTGGTTTTTTTTGGGTTTTTTGGGGGGGGGGGAAGAGGAGGGATGAACAAAGAATTATGAAGAAGCCAAGTCATAAATTTCACATAATAGAGAACACTTACTAGGTCATCTAACTCATCCTCCAATTTATGCCAGCTGATTTTTACAATAAGCTTCTGTATTTTCAAAAACAGTCTACAGAAATCACAATGACAGGCTAACGTCAGTAAAGCACAAGTATATGTTATGGCAGAGGTAGAAACACATGCTACTATATGCCTGCATGTTCAATCAGCACTTCAGGAAGTAGAAGCAGTTTCTGAGGACAGGATATGTGACAGAATACATCTGTAACTGGAAGGTTTTGATTGTTCAACAGTATGCTGAAATTTTCACCCTGGTAATCTTTTATAACAATTGTTTCAAGGTATTCAATCTTTTTTTTTTAAAAAAAAACTGTGGTGGGAAACCAGACTATCTAAAACATATTCTTCTATTTTTAATACACCTCAATTTCTCATAATTCTAGATTCTTCTTAATATACAGAAAAGGAGAATGGGTGCCAGACTGTTCAGTTTACGTAGTAACCGTCAGGGAATCGTATTTGCTTCAACGAGACTCAGAAAAGTTCAGAAAGACACATAATGCTCAGTATACTGTTGTTGCACCAGCACTAGTTATTTTTTATGTACCAGCTCTCTACGTAAGAAATATTAAAAGACTATGTATTAAATGATATGTCATTAATAAAGCATATGCTCATCAAATACTTCTCATAAACCTATGTGATGGTACTTGTGCATAGGAAGTCGCTGTTACACCTACTTTACAGCTGCAAGTACTGAGAGAGGAAGTAACCCCGTTGTTTAGAGGCACAGATAGGAATGAAAAGGAAGTCACCGATCTACCTATGAAACCACACTACTTGGAAGGAACAGCCAGTGCTGTGTTAAAACTTACTGGCACTACCTCTCTCTCTGGTTTTCCATTTGGAACAAGACGATTGCTACTAACACATTGTGGAGGAAATGCACTTTGAGAAAACATTCAGGGAAGCAAGTCTGAACAAAAAGCAGCCTGGGGAATTATTAAAACACAGAATGAAACACAGTTACACTTGAATCAAGATTAACCTGTTTCTTACAGTAAGAAACCTATTTGATGCAAAACAGCAAAATGAGAGTTAAGGCCATCTCTTATATCTGAGACAAGCCCTCAGCTACAGGTAAAACCAGCAGAAGTTACTAGTTAGCTTTCCTCTAAGACACAAGAAGTTTAGCAAAACTTTTAAGCATTTAATCCAATTCAGACACAACCAATTCTTCCAGTGAACAAATACAATCAAGATCACTGAGTGGGAACAGAATATATGGAAAATGCCCTTATTGTCAGACAATCTCTTTGAGACATGTTTCAAAGTCAGTCCTCCTCACTACCCCTCTCAACGTGGCATAAACCCAGCACAGTTCAACATGGTCAGAGGGTTTCGTCTATGCAGAGACATCTGGCAGACTAACAGCATATGAATTTTTTTTATAAGTTTGTGAAATGTGTATGAAGACTATGTCAAATTCCAGGTGTTTAAAATGTGCTTAAGTAATTTACTTGCTGAAGTAAATCAAATGAGCAAGAGTACAAGCCAAGACACTTCACAGTAGCTTCACAGTTACTTCTCACAGTAACAAACTTGCAAATCTCTGCATATATAGGGCAGAGGCGGGGACAGGGGTGCTCAGCGAATTTTTTAAGAATACCCCAGTAAAATGATTCACATCAGTCTCTAATAGGAACCATGGTGGGCTGCTGATGACCACAAAGGGCTTTGAAGAGAAGTAATAAATCACTTGCCCTGCTTCCCCACCCTGCATCATCTTAAGTTTCTCCATGCCTCACCTGCTGGATATCCTGAAGTTTATTAAGCATAGTGTTGAATAAAGTTTCACATCTAGTCTCTGATATTCACATATGGGTTACAAAGGCTCTTAAGTTAATAAAAGTTTATTTAAAACACACTTCGAAGGTAACAAGATTAAATGACAGGATTTATTTTTTAGGTTAGCCTCCTGTGAAGTTATATTAACAAGGCCAAATTTATTCCACAATACCTTGCAACTGTCATTCACAGTACTTTTCCACCATAAAGCAAATGAAATAAAGGGGATGAACCAGGCAAAAACTTGTAGGTCTTAAAGAAAGGCTCTAGCATTCAGGTCTGTACTTTTAACATGGAGACTCTTGGTTTGTAAGCTTTAAATCCTTGATAGCTTGGTTCCCATGTGGTCTATGTACAGGAATGAATCGAGTATCTTAGAGAAAGGGGAGGAAAAAGAAATTGCAGCAAGCGTACCTTTCTTCTCGTATCCTTCTCACTCGCTCAGCTCGTTCTAGTTTCTTTTGTTCTTCATATGCTTTTTGTTCTGTAGTGTCTCTTTGGATGCGCTCATTTAAGGCATCAAAATCTTTTGCTATGATATGTAGAAGCCAATATAAACCCTTTTTTATTGATTTATCAATTTTTTTCCCACAGCCCATGATAGCTGAGCAAGGTTCCTGTAAATATAAGGAAAAGGAGGGGAAAATTATTTGCAGTGCAGATCACATTCCTTGACTGAAAACAAGAAATCAGCCAAACAATTTACTGTTTACTGTGAAGCTTGCAAAACACTGAGAAGTATGGGAAATAAATTTGCATTTAGGTATTCTATAAATTTAGGTGCTTTTTTTGCCAAGGTACAAATCACATTAGTTCTACCAAATTCCATTATGTCCAGTCCCATTTAAAAAATACTAGAATACTGCACAGAAAAACATGCTTGCATTTCTATCTCTAGAAACAGATATACACCTGTTACGTATACACACAGCTGTTACATAGACACCTGCTATATGTATATATTTACACACCTGTTTCTATACACACCCATATCTATGCATGTATACAGAAATATCATTTATCAACCCCAAATATGTATGTTCTGTTTTCCTGCTTGTTTCTAAATAGTCCATGTTATATTTATCTAGTGGGATGCAAGAGAATCAGCTTAGCTTCAGTTCATGAAAGAAATGTTCAACTTGTTCATAACCACCTAGGGGATAAATAAAATCCAGCGTGAATGTCAGAAAAACTGTCAAACCAATTTGATTTTTTAGATCAGAACAGGTAATGGATAGGGGTGAAGCAAAATATGCATCTTGATTGGAGTAAAACTTTTGTCATGTTATGCTCATCAGCAAGCAAAAGAAACATGATCTAGGCGAATCTATTGGAAGATGGGTGCAAAACCCATTGCTAAATTGGTTTGGAACACTTTATCTATCTTGGATGCAACAATTCAAGGAATTGGATTGACTGGAAGGAATCAAGAGGAGCAAAGTGAGAAAAATCAGACAAAATCGGTTATGAAAACACATCTGGTAAGAAAACATAGAAGGAACAGGAGTGGTTCTCTTGAGATGAAAAAGCTTCAAGGAGATATGGTAATAGCCTTCAAAGACATAAGGCCTAACTGCAAATGAGAAAAGAATAATTTGTCTTTCATGTTCATTGTCAGGAGGAGAAGTATAATGGGCTTTAATTGGAACAAAAGAGATATGGTTCGATTCTAACTTAGAACATGGAAAAGGACTAGATGACCTCTCAACATCTCTTCAGAACTACTTTCCAGAATGTTTTGGAGCACTGTATGGGTAATTTAAACTGTTCTCTGAATAATAATTGAATAGATCCAGCTATGTATTTGACATGAAGAAATGATATTTCGCACTGATTGTGTTCAGGATTCATGTTCATGAATGAAGGAAGATTAAAAAAGACTAACTGTCCAATGTCAACACCTAAAAAATTCTCTGTGTTATCTCTTCATTTGACAAGCACTTAAATGGCACCATAGTCAGATATGACAACAGAAAAAAAGTAATTCTGACCTGTTATGTCCCCCTAGAGTGCCAAAACTAGTTTGCATTTTAATACATTCCTACTTTGTCTAAATTAAGGTTTAAATATGAGTGCTGTTCACTATGGAACACTACAATACTCTCTAGCAGAACCTAATCGGGGAGAAGATGTATAGGCAATAATACCTTGTTTTTCTGAGAAAATGAAGATAAAACAATAGAGAGCACTGGGGCAATTTTCTTCTCAGTTTGCACCAAGATTATTGTTGCTGTAGCTCAGTTATAAAGTATAGAAATTTAGAAATATAGAATATACAGATGTATTGAAAAAGAAAAAAGAGGAAGGTCATCCTCACTGACACTGTGTTACAGCGAGACAAATTACTCCTTCCATTTGCTTTAATACTTTGTGGGGAAATTTAGAGATCCAGAAGAAAACTAATTAAAAGAATAAGAACAAACAAAAGCGGTTTTGGTCCTTGCTTAATTTTACTTAAATCTTGTTTCACAACACCCCTGTCTAAATTCACCCCATAAGTCATCATATTGAAATAACTTGGGACCATGTTTACCTTTAATGGGCCTAGTAAAGAAGCTGTCCATTTGAGTATGTAAGACTCTCAGCTGCTTTCAGCTAGAATGACTTAGAGTATGTGATCTAGTTTCTTTGTTGATTACACCCAAGATATAAATAGAGAGCAAGAACAGCATTTTACTGGAACATGTCATAAATTAAGTAATTCTAAAGTATTGGAAAAATACACTGGAATCTTTTTATATTGATAATGCTTTGCAAGAAAATATTTTTGTCACAGAAGTCCCTTGGAAAAAAAACAGCGAACTTGCAATTTTTTATTTTTATGATTGCTACATATGCACAGTGCAAAGTCCACTAACTGAAGAAAAGCACTCAAAGAGTCATGACATAATGAACATAGCTATGCCCTGCTATGAGTCAACTTTCTAGAGAAAATAATAGCAATACGTATTACCCTATGAATTTTGCAACTCTCCCTAGGGAATTAGAGTTCTTTTTTAAATTTTAAAACACAAATACCAGCTGGAATGGTTTTGCAAAATTGCCTTCCAATTTTGGTTAATAACAGTGTAACTCTCATTATCTTTTAAAATACTTATTGCAATTAGAAAAAGATGATAAGAGTAAAACCCACAAATAGTTAACTAACAAACTGGTTGATTAAAACAAAGACTTAAAGGAAACTTCAGGGACTACTGATCTGGATAAATTATCTGAAATATTGACCAATATTAAGTAGCTTTCATACAGATTTCTGGTTTTGGCTCCCCCCTCTTATGATTTTTTTTTTTTTTTAACATGACTGTGAATAGTGCATCTGAAATGTAGTTATTTTAGGACAAATATTAACTAGCAACTAGCTCTAACAATGTTCTTTGGTGACTACTGTGCTGGGAATTAGATGCCCTAGGAATTAGATTAAGTTCTTACTGTTTGCCAGATGGTGACTCAGACTAAATGATGCTTTTACTATGAACAGAAATGAGACAAACATCATATCCAAACAGTGATCCTTCCTGAATGTCAACATAGGCAAACTCCTTTTCCTGCTTCTTTTTGAAAAGGTGGAATACTAAGCTTGCTGTCCAATTAAACAAGTTTTAAACCACATCAAGTAACTAATTATTCTTACATGGTTTCAGAATGGACCAGCAGGTACACTTTGAGGATCCTTGTTATAAAGATTTCTTCAACAGACCCAGAAGCAGAATGACAATGGGAACAGTAGAATTACTTGCAGAACAGATATATGTACTGTATCTTTACTGGCATTGCAGGTGTTTAGTTTCAGTTTTACGCTATGCGGCACAATCTCCTACGTTATTGCAAGCTTTACATATATATTAGAAAATGAAGCATCTTAAAATATACTTACAATTTGACATAGACACTTGTGTTCATTGACAAGCTTTTCCAGAGATAAGGACTCGATTACATCTGCTTCTGACAGAGCTCCTTCTCTGTCCTGCTTATTTGCCAGCCTAAAGAAAAGATCAAAGCAAACACTTAGCACCCTGACAGAAGAGATTCTCAGATCTCCAAAAGCTAAGTCTTTGACAAAAGTAGGAAGAAAAAGGTGAAGGAGAAAGTAAAGAAAAAATGCCTTGTTTCAGCTTTAATTCTTAACTGTTCTTTCTACTTAATAAACATGTTAGTCCACATTGTCAGCAGATACTAACATTAAATAATTATTAAGGTGCTTAGTAATTATTTAATAATTATTAATAGACTAAGCAATTATATTTTACAGCTAAAAAGATGGATGTAAAAGACTGTACCGTTCTACATTTAAAGCTACACAGTACAATCAGTTGGAGTCTGTGCATCAAAGTTCAGAACTTTGCAACTTCCCAAACCATGCGTACTTCCCCGCATAATACTGCTTCGTGATCATCTTGGGTCTGTCTACTATCCAGAATTTCTCTCTGAAGCCAAAAAATTTGATATGTAATGTTTTGAACCCACTCTTTGTAAGTTAAACTTAAAGTTCAGAGGGAGTAACTTGCATGAATGGCTCTAAAAAATATCCTTTATTATTAAATAGAGGGAAGCAAAAAAAAAGTTTATGAAACGCATAGCTTACAATATAAGTATTCTGTAAGATGAATTGCCATCATTGTCTTATTTCTTAGAGATATGATAGCAAAGAGGACTCCAGAAGATAAACATCTTAATTTTCTGGGGGAGTGTCGTTCTTGATCAGATTTGTCTTCCATATACTCTGGAACTGCATCCAACACTGCAGCCAATAATGTGTGTTGTTTAAAAGGCTCAAACCAGATCTGGTTTACCACCCAAAGAATGTTATTAATTATTTCACACTTTAATATGGACATACACCCTGAAGCAGAGGCTGTTATGTTCCTTTCAACACTGTTATCAATAACTGCTACAAAGATAAGAGGGCTGTCCAGAATTACAAACAACCAAAACACTTAAGTACTTCACCTCAGCAAACTCCTGGTGATACCATGTGCTAACCACAGACACGAAAGTTACTTCCTTTTATCAAGACTAACTTTTTAATGTTTCACTGAAAACTCCTCTGTATATGAAATGAAAATGGAAAAGCTTCCAATCTAAAGCCCTAAAAGGTCCATCACAAACCACATGTAAGAAAAAACAAGGGTAACTGCCAACACCTGTATGGAACCACCTCTCACAGAAAGGCAAAATCTTTTCCCTTGTGGGGATTTCTTTCAGCTGTCCAAGTAATAATTTTCATGAAACTCACAGAACTTGGCTATACTTGAGACTTCAATTTCTTGATTAAAATGGATTTAAATTGGTCAACATCCAAGAAAGTAGGATGGATTAACAACGTAAGTTTACCTACATATTTAGAAATGTGTTAGCCAAGCAGATGTATTCCCTAAGAAGAAACTTAAAAAAAGTAAACTTGCAGTCATGTTGGTCAATGATTTTGTGAGTTCACTTACAAGCAAATTTTAATACAAATGGAGAAATTTAGGTAGAAATCCAAAATATATATTTTAAACAGACAAACAAAAATGACAAAAAGAAACACATAGGAAATCATTAATGTTTCTTGAGGGTCTTAGAGTTTTATAAGGAATAAACAAAACTTCACAAAAGAGGTCAAGTCAAAAAAGAGTTGTTCCCATCTTCCATGAAAACTCTTCATGACAATAGGTTATATAGCCTTTCTTTTCCCATTACCTGCTTTTCATTAAAAGCTAGTGTGGTAAAACTCTAGGAACTATGAAAAGAGATTAAATAATATTTTATGAACTCCTGTTCAAAGTTGCTATTTTGCAGCATGAAAACTGGTACTGTTTTCTTTGAATCAGTGTTAGACCATTTTGGAATATAAGCATACAATGCAATCTTATTTTGCTCTTTCTACAACAGTAATAATCCAAGCTAAGTGCAAAAGCTGCAAAGAGGAGTATCGCATAGCATTAGGGAATCTGAAAACTGCACTTGCCTCTCTCTAATAAAGGCATTCTACCAAAATAATGTTGTTCTGAAATTTAGCAACCCTTCCATTACATGAGAACTCTGATTCAAGTTTCTGGATAAAATCACAAATATTTGGCTTCCATGAATACAAAGGCAGATAGTTTTGGAACCAGACATCATAGCCTTTCTTCTGAAATCTCAAGTCATCATCATTAAATCAAATGGCTTTTAGGGAATGCTAGGTCAAAGCTTATACTTTGGATTTATCATACTCCTTGCTGGGAAGGAACAATGGTAAGAACTCACTCCATAGTTAGCAGAACTTGTCAGCGCTTCAGTTTGATCTAAAACCTTATTCCTTCCTATTTTCCAGAATTGCAGTATGAGCACCTCAGTTCTTAATTATTTTACTCCCAAGAGAGTTGTTAGCTTCAAAGAGACATTAAAAAACAAAAAGCTGTGTTGCATCTACAGCTCAAAAAAAATTCCTTGTTACCATTAACCTCATGCACTATGATTCATTATCTAATCTTTCTTTTCAAGAAGAATTTATGAAGGACACCATAGAAAGACAGCTTCTCAAATGTCATTCTCTCTCAATCTTCATCAGTCTTAACTATTTGTGGTCCAAAAGGTTCACTTATTTATCATCATCTTGGGGATAAAAGCCCCTACATCCTACTGATAATCAAAACTGTGCTGACTTGCCTGCAGAGTTAGAAAGAGCATAAGGCTCTCCTCCCCACCCCTCCTTTGATAATACATTCTCACTTTTCAACAAGAAGAGTATTTCTACACTATTTTGTATGATTTAGTGCAGAGATTCCCTAACGGTTGTTTAATGCATATACCGAACCTATGACATTTTCAATACGCTTATGATACTCTGGCACTATTCCTTCTCACCAACCAGAACAAGTAACGTCCTCTCAGTATTTAGCTATGAAATCGGGCCAGAGCTAAACCAGGGAAAAACTGAAATGAAATTCAAGAAAGCTATGGAAAGTAATTAAAAGATTGGAAACAATTATCTCCACTTTTTTTTTTTCCCACATAACCTATCTTTGTTACAGTCTGAAAATCCTACTGCACTGCACTTTAGTCTCAAAAAGCATTCCTCAGCAGTACTGTCAATTCATCTAGACATAATTGAAGAAAATATTTCTGAACACAGTTTGTTGCCACAGCCTATTCCCTTCTCACTTGAAGATTAAATAACTGAACTATTTACTGTGTTATTGGACTGCACATTCTACAAAGCACAGCTGAAGCAGAATGAAATGTTGGTAAGCTGCATAGCTCAGTGTAAGTGTGACACTAACGTCCTATAACTTGCAGTAGATGCTGATTTTTAACCTCTAATACCTTGAAAGGTGTTAAGATTTGTCTTTTTGGTCAATTAGCTTCCATTTTCTCCACAGCAGTCCTGTTGCAATACTGGCTGTATTCAAAAAATACAGCTGAGGTGCTGTATCTGGAAACATAGCATATCCAAATATCTGCCTCCAACTTATGCTCCCCAAGAATTGAAGTGGTTTTGCACGGGTCAAACATTTCTTGCTGTACGCCCTTGGCCACTTTAGCCCTTAGGTCAAACTTATAAATGGAGTTAAAATATTTTTAAGGTACTGACTGTGATATGGGTATTACTATGCTGAATTTTTTTTTTCTTCTTTCAAGTAAATGTATGAACGACCTAGCCTCGCTTCCTTTTTCCTCTGCGCTTCAGTGCAGAAGAAAGCAATCCCTGCACTTCCACTTGTGCTTCATAGGTAGGCAGTGCTCCACTTCCAGCTCACAAGGCCTCTATCTACCAGGGAGCTGCTCCCAGACGCTTTCTGCTCCTGGGCAGCTCCAGCAGTGATCCGCCTCTCAGCAGGGCTGGGTTTCAAACAGGCAAAACCAGATTCCCCAAGTAGAAAGTAATCAATTTGCCTGTCTACTGCAGTTGCAGAAGTCAGCTTCTCTCTCACACCACCGCTCCTGACGATGAGCCCTTGGACAATTATTTAAGAACTAGAAGCAGAAGGCATGCAGAAAATACTTAATGGAATGCCACTCAAGACACATTACTTAGGCAAATATTCGAAACAATGTTTTTCAGATTATACTGAAGCTTACCCTCAGGAGTTCCTCTGTAAAGGATAAAACAGAAAGCCACCAGCACAAGATAAAAGGTAAAGACTTTTTCTTTTACTTAATGTTTACGAAGTTGCAAATATCAGAAAAAGGCTGTGTAGTGTGTTTTAGAATGGAAATGTGCCTAAGTGTCAAGACATACAAATAATGGATGTCTGCCCTGCAAAGAATTGGATGTTTCTCTGGGTGAATATAGTCTCAGAGCTCTGCTGCTCATGCACAGGAATGCTCGGTTTTGAGGCAAGTTTTATGCACAAAACTTCCTTCTTTAGGGAATACGCCATTAGAGTTATCTCAAAGGATAGACCTTGATTTTAATTTTCCAAGTCAGTAGAACTTCATATATAGCAGTTTTTCATGTTTAAAAAACTGTAGGAGGTATACATCAAAACATACTTGAAAGCACAGGAGAGTGTCTGTTGGTTTACTACATTAAGTTTGCTGAGTGAGAAGCTTTCATATATAAAATCATGCTTGGCTTATTTCAATTTCACATAAAGTATATTTGGAACCTTCTTAGTGTAACAAACTTACTTTATGCAAGAAATAACGAAAGGGTAGGCACCAACTGTTTTTATATCAAGTAGGATTTTTTGAAGCGACTAGAGAGCTTTTGAACTTTAAGAGTCATGGGAAACAATGTGGAAAGGGAGTGTATGTGTGCATTGGCACAACTGACATCTACAGTTCAGCAACAATATTTCTCTTAGAAGCCAGAAGACATGCCAGAGAAAAACAAATTCTGAATGCAAACTATGTGTGTTCCTTGACCTGTTTCTAAAATGTAAATTACTGAGCAAAGAGGAAAATGAAAAAAAAAAAAAAATCAGTATTAAAGTTTACTTTACAATCCAAAAGATTTGGTGAAAAACAATCCAGTATGAAAAGGTGTCGTGGTTTAGCTCCAGCCAGCAACTAA